CTTAGTCATCCTACAGTTAAAAAAAACCCACTAACAATAAACTCAGAGGGGTTACTGTCTACAGGCAAGGAGGAGACATAAAATGTAAAGCATGATACAGTGGTGCTCAAGGTAGCCTGCTCAAAGCATCTGACTCCTTGGACAGGAAAGGGAGACTGGTGAGATCTAGAGAACTCTTAAAGTTAGAAAGAGGACTTGCTAAGCTAAAAGAGGAAAGTAAATAAGAAGGGAGGGAGCAGGCAGTCCACGATCTAAGAGGGGCGGCCACATGACAGATGCGCAGGGCACTAGAGGAAATGACAGCATTAGTATTGGTCCTGTCAAAAGGCCTTGCCGGCAAAGCTAAAGCGGACAGCACTAAAATCCCCTCTGCTCACTAGGCCTGCTGGAGACATAATGAAACACAATACTGTCGGGGGTGGCCCCTGGGTAACATTTTCACTTCTACATTCCATTTTCAGTTTAGGTCGAGATTTTTAAGAAGACAGCAAGCAGCACTCGAGTCCCAGGTGACAAGATCTGCTCAGATTTAGTCTTTGAATGTTGCAAATTAAATTCCCTCATCAGGCCTCTAATCACTCTTACCAGATGGGGCTTGTGCTCAATTTTGGATCCACAGGAAATTTAATGGTTATTGTTTCTGTTTAAATAGGAGATTATTGCATTTTAATAAGTTCTCTTTGGGACTTGCAGCAACAATAGAGCACTATGAATTACTGTAGATAGCTGTTACTGCATGCTGGGGAAAAATCAAGTTACTAAGTGTGACAAGTTGCTTTTTCTTCCCTTCCAGCAATCGCTCCGAGTGTATTTACCACCAAATTAAGTATGTGCTGAGGGGATAATATTTTTATCCTGCCGAGGGGGAGAAGGAGCTTGTCTGTGGATTTTCATTAAAATGACACATCTGTTCAGCAATTTCACAAAGTAATTCTGCTGAAAGTTTTATCAGCTAATTTTAATTATTCACTCCAGTGGGTTGAATACAGGATTCATCATGTTGAATTAATACATTTGACGGGAATTTCACAAAGAGGGGGAGAAAAAGCAATCAACAAATTGAATTGTCATGCATTATGGATTAAATTGAGATTCTTTAATTAGGATAAGCCTGAGATTTGGTATTTTGAAGGTATTAGAAAGCTTAGCAATACAGTGGTAAAGATTAAGAAAATGCAATTAAATATTACACTTTGGACACAGCCAGGATATCATATGAGTAGAAGAGTCCTCTTTTTAGCAGAATGGTTAATAGTGTCAGTTTCTAGAACTGCTCAGTGGTGGAAATGCAGCCATGCCAATGAGAGACAGCTGCTGTTTGTTTACCAGAGATGAATTAAAGGTAATTGTATTTTAAAAGACTGGAAGCTGACTCTCTTTAAACTACAATGAGATAATTGTGGCAGTGACAATGAACAAATAACTAGGAGATGCAAGGTTCAAGTTCTGGCCCTGCCATCACTACTTATATGACTTTGAAAAATGCAATATTTTTTATTGAGCACCTATTACATAGAGACACTGTATTAGACAAGGAGGAATCAACAGTGAACAAGCTAGCCCCCTGCCCAAGGGAGATCTCGAGTCTGGCACAAGACTCCTCTCTGAGGGCTCAGTCTTTGTATCTAAATAACAAAGGGGCTGGATCTGATGAGTGCTCCAAGTCTGTTCCACATCTGACATTCTACATAAATTGCAATAAATAACTGTATTGAGCTTATTTTATGAAGGCAGTATGTGGTAAGGGGGGAGATTAAACAGAGCAGTACAGAGAACACAAAGTAAAAATTACTATTCTAGAGGCCCCCTCTCCCATGCATGCTGGCTTGGGTGATAAGTCTACATACACAGCATCCATAATGCTTTCTGCCAAATTGGGATGGCCTGGGGGGAAAGGAGCACCATGTGTACTGGTCAAAGAAAATAACAACAAGGACTGGAATGCATAGGTGAGCCCCTAACACTTGCCAAACATTGTTTAGACTTGTAAAACTAAACAGAAGCTAAAAGTAGAAAAAGAAACAATTTTCACTGAAGATACAAAATACCTGCTGACAGAGAGGATACAGCTACCAGTCTGTGGGAAATAGTCTGAGATCCATTTCAGCTTTAGTTCCTAAATCTGCAATATACACATACAGATGAAGACCATGAATATTATAAGAGGAAGAAAAAGTACTTTCTATTGAGAAGATAGTATTAACCTAGCTTATCTAAAAGGTTGAAAATTGCTTTTTAGTTCCCCCAAAAATGTTCATTCACTCCATTTCCACCTGGCACAGTAGGTCACATATACTCACCAATGAAACTGTACATGCCATCACACTAGAAGAATCACAAATACTGTACTATCTCATTAGAGGTATAAACAAATGAAATTATATTTTTGAATACTCAAAAGAAAACAACAAAACTATAAATTAAATTTATGGCTAATATGTCCATGTTTTAAAATTTTCTAGAAATTTTTCTAGTCATCTGTAGATGACTAGAATTCATTCATTCATTCAGTAATACTTATTGAGCTTCGCTATGTATCACACACTACTCTGGATACCGGGGAGACAGTGGTGAGTATGGTACACACCTCACCTTCAGGGACCTTACATTCTAGTATGGGTTGGTGGTGAAGAATATAAAACGTTATATCAAATAGTGATAAGTGCTGAGAAAATACAGGGTTAAGGTAAAGAATAGCGAATAAGATGAGTACAGTTTTACAGAAGGTGGTCAAGGAGGCCCCCTGTGAAGACAGGACATCTGAGTAGAGGGCCTACATGAAGTACAGGTTATCTGAGTTTCAACATATTTTTCTATTTTCTGTTTTGTTTCCTTTCTGCTATATTCTGGCATAGCTCACCAGGCAACATCATGGTACTGCTGTTACTATCTCTGGGAAGTTATGATCTGTATGAGCCTCAGTTTCCTCATCTGAGGCATGAGTTGTTAAAAAGAATTAAATAAGATGATGTACATAAAGTACCCAGAATAGTGAGTGAAGCACATGTGTGAATTACCTATTCCTTTTTTTTGGTTCTTGCAGACAATCCTTTATTTAAAATACAGTATGAGAGTAAGGATTATATTGTTCAATATCTTCAATATACAGATGGAAAAAATAAAGGGCCTTAGAGATTAAGCAAGGTATTCATGAATAATCATCCCATCAGAAAGAATTCCTATCACAAGAGTTATTTCTGTTATACTGGTTTTTTTTTTTTTTTGAATTTTTATTTTTAGGTGTAAAACCTTTTCTCGGTGAAAGCTTATCAAGTAGTCCAATATAAGAAATAAAGAAAAATTCAGCCTTCCCAGCTCCTAAAAAGAGAGAATGAACAAACGGCCTTGGTGATGATGAAAAGCAGAGATAAAGTAGAAGAAAAGACATGGTAAATTCCTTGAAGGAAAATTAAAAATAACAAATTCCTAAGCAGGTCCAAAAGGAACTGCCAGGGCTCTTTCTGCTATCACCTGGAATTAAACCAAAAACACATCAAAAATAACTTAGACACTATTACTAATCCATTCCTTTTTTGTTTTTCTTCACACTTTCTTTCCCTTAATTTTGGATCTTGTCTTTCTATGTATTTTCTTTCGCTTGCTCACAGGATCTCAGCTATTTTCTTTTTTACTTTTCTTTCTAGCACTCGTATCAGCTGCTGCAGCCACCCTCCCTTCTTATCTCGGCTTGCTTTAGCTCAGTAGGATAACTACTGTAATAGTAGTCACATTAAGTTCTGTTAAAATGTCAAAAAAAAGTCTGTAATTTACTCATAGCAACAAGCAACTCCAATCACCAAAGAACCCATGTGCTTAGCTAATTTATTTCCAATCAGCTCTAAGAATGAAGAGTTGAGACAGCCAGTCTCCCTCGAAATGATCAGCAGAGTATCTGTGAAGCATCTACTGTGTGTTAGCTGCCATGCTAAGCATCATTCATTCAACAAATATTTACTGAACTCTGCTATCAGTCAGTTATCCTGCCAAGTGATAGAAAAACACACAGGTGGGGTTGGGAGCAGTGGTTCACGTCTGTGAGCCACTTTGAGAGGCCGAGGTGGGCAGATCACGAGGTCAGGAGTTCGAGACCAGCCTGGCCAACACAGTGAAACCACGTCCCCCATCTCTATTAAAAATACAAAAAATTAGCCATCGTGGTGGTGGGTGCCTGAAATCTCAGCTACTTGGGAGGCTGAGGCAGGAGAATCACCTGAACCTGGGAGGCAGAGGTTGGAATGAGCCGTGATCGCACCACTGCACTCCAGCCCAGGCGACAGCGCGAGACTCCGTCTCAAAAAAAGAAAAAAGATATCCTGCTTTCATATCTATCAGGAGAAGCAGAGCATCCACCTAAAAACAGATAGCACGTATTTTAGTTATTAAGTGATAATAAAGGTAGTATAGGAAAGAAAACAGTGACGCAGCCTATAAGCCCCTCCTGCTCGTGACACAACCAACATGCATCCAATAAGCTTAAAACAGCTTTAGGCTGGGCGGGGTGACTCACATTTGTAATCTCAGCATTTTGGAAGGACAAGGCAAGAGAATCACTTGAGGCTAGGAGTTCAAGACCAGCCTGGGCAATGTAGTCAGACCCTGTCTCCACACCTTTTTTTTCTTTCTTTCTTTCTTTTTTTTAAATTAACCATGGGTGGTTGCACATGCCTGCAGTCCCAACTAATCAGGAGGCTAAAGCAGAAGGACCACTCGAGCCCAGGAATTCCAGGTTACAGTGAGATATGATCTTGCCACTGCACTCTAGCCTGGGTGAGACAGTGAGACTCCATCCCTAAAGTAAGAATTATAAAAATAATAGCTTCATATGTCAACACATTCACCAATGCTGAGGCCGATTTCCTCCAAATCATGTTAGTATATTAAACCGTTATAATACATGGATTTTGAGGAAAGTCCTTGAATTAGTAATGGTAGTTAGTGAATCTTTTATGTGGATATTTTCACAACCATGAGGAGAGAACACCACGCTTTTGCTTCCCCACCACTGCTCCACTGGTATAAGTCCATCTCATTAGGGACATTACCTGCCCTGGCATAGGACGGTGAGCAGCTTCCAGCCTCTGCCTCTGTTTTTTCCAAATTCCTCAGTAAGGATCAATATTCTAGGTGTGAAGATCCCAGGACAAGCAGTAAAGATGTGAAGAGGTTTCCATTAATGGGATTCAAGGTTTAGGCCTCCATTAGCACAACAACATTCAAAGGACCACCACCCAAATAGCCCAACAGTAAATACAAACTGGAGCGTGGGCTGTTGAATCAGAGCTCCAGGTTACAAGCTCAGTTTAAGGAGATAGAAGGAGTTCATCTTTAAAGAGGGAAAGAGACCAATAGAGGCTCAGTCTCCTCATCTGTAAACCATGGATAAAAATACCACAGAATCGTTAAGATAGCAACTGAGAAAATACGCACAGAAACAACTGGCATAGCACCTGGTACACACAAAAACATGCAATAAATGTTTGCAATTATTACTATTTGATAGAAGAATGAAAAAGTGTAAAAGAAAACAGATATCTCACAGGGGAAAAGAAAATACTGAGAGAAGAGATGAGAAATTTTCATAAGGCAATAACGAGAAACGTGAATGACATTCAATGAACGCCAATTCTAAAAAAAATTAAATAATCCCAAGATCTAAAACATCTTGGCATATTGCTTATCTCATTTAGTATCCATTCTGGGATCTAAATAAATATGATATAATACATTAATATATTACTATATGTTAGTCACCATATAATAATGATCAAAGTATCAGAAAAGCACAGCCTATGAGAAGTGCAAATATCTATGGCTTCTGATCCACAAATGTGACTTAAATGCCCACAGCTTGGTTAGAATTCATACCAATAAAACCATCACATCACAAGATGGTATTCAGGTGTGATGACTTCAACCATGAGCTTTGTTTTCTCTTTTAGTTTGATCACTTCAAAAGCACATACATCTCCATGAGATCAACCTTTGGACAATGATCTCACTCTGTATGACAATCAGGTAAGGTGAAATGACAGACACTGAGCAAATTTAACCCCTGCACTAAAGCCAGTATAGGGCTATAATGCCACTTATTTTATGCCCGGTTTTTTTCAGGCCTTCTGCATCTTGAGCATCTTTTTACCAGCGATGGGAAATTCAGCTTTGGCAATTCTTATGGTCTTCTTTCCACAGCCTAAAACCTGATTAGGACCCTACGGGGATAATGTTGGTATCAAAAAAGAAGAAAAGAAAGTCCACCAAAAATTAGACACTGTTTGTGTGAAAGTAGAGATGAAAGGTATACTGTGTTAATGGAAAAAATATACATCAGATGAAAGCCAAGGGATTAAGTTAAATTTGACAAATGTATCTGCAAGCAATTCCATCTCTAAATGCAGCAGACCTGGAGTCATAGTCACAATTATGTGAGGTCCATTAAGCAATTCCTTTCCCTCCAATTCTCCTTGTGTCCTTCATAGCTACTGTTATCCATCAGAAATCTCGACAATGCTTGAAAAGAAAAACCACAGTATAGTTAGGAAAAAAGTATACAATTCCTATACCTTTGCAACTCTAATATCCATTTCCTCAAGTGAAAATATTTCCAAGTACCATGTGAAGTGTAGGTCCCAGGACACAGCCAGCCTGCGAGGTGTATGTGAATGAGCTTAAGTGCACATGTGTTGGATGGCATGGGAGGGAGGGTAGGAAAGAGAGCAAAGCAACAACATCACAAGCTTCTGCAAGAGGGATTCAGCTCCTTCAGTTAAATATGAAAGGTCATATGGCTTCATTTATATCCAAAACCAAACGTTAAGTTTCCCCTAACCCAATATGAAATATGTTTTTAAAAAAAGGCATTCAAATGAATGTTTTGAGACCAAGGCTCTCAGTAATGCCTGCTTTTGTACATTTAAAAAGTGATACTACTAATATGTGAATTGCATAGAGTTACGGAACATTTAAAGGGGCAGAAAAAGCAGTATGTTTTGTTTAACCTTGAATCAAATACTATTTTTAAAAAGCATACAATTCTGGAGTTTTTCTTTAAAAGTTGAAAACAAAGATTTATTGAACTGAGCATCAACTGCTACCTGTGTTGTCAAGAGTAATTATTAAACACAGGCCTTTGTCTTTTTCTAAAAAAAGAAATGGAAATAACTTTCGGTATAACTACCTGAAAAAGTAATGACTTTTGTCATGACAATGACAGAGACAAGAAAAAGCTCTTGATATAATGCTAAGTTTAAAAAAGCAAGAGCCCAGGCTGGGTGCAGTGGCTCACGCCTGTAATGCTAAACACTCTGAGACGCTGAGGTGGGCAGGTCATCTGAGGTCAGGAGTTTAAGACCACCTCTACTAAGGATACAAAAATTAGCTGGGCATTGTGGTATGCACCTGTAGTCCCAGCTACCGGGGAGTCTGAGGCTCGAGAATCATTTGAACCTGGAAGGGGGAAGCTGCAATGCACCAAGATGGTGCCACACTGCGCTCCAGCCTGGGTGACAGAGTGAGACTCTGTCTCTCAAAAAAAAAAAAAAAAAAAAAAGAGCAAGAGCCCAAATTACACATGCATTATGTTGCTGACCATGTTAAAACTGTACGTATATATGCTCATAGAAAGAAAAAGAGGAGGATGCTCATAGCAACTTCATTAATGATAGCCACAAACTGGAAATAACCCAAATGTCCCACAATAAGGAAACCATGGCATATCTATTCATAAAGTATTACATGGCAATTTAAAAAATTAAAAATCCCTGCTACACCTAAAACATGGATAAATTTCAAAAGATACTATGTTGAGTAAAGGAAGCCAGATGAAAAAGAGTACATATTTTAAATATTCATTCAAATGAAGTTTAAAAACAACACAGATTATAGGCCGGGTGTGGTGGCTCATGCCTGTAATCACAGCACTTTGGGAGGCCGAGGCAGGCGGATCATGAGGTCAGGAGATCAAGACCATCCTGGCCACCATGGTGAAACCCTGTCTCTACTAAAATACAAAAAAATTAGCTGGTCATGGTGGCACGCATCTGTACTCCCAGCTACTTGGGAAGCTGAGGCAGGAGAATCTCTTGAACCTGGGAGGCGGAGGTTGCAGTAAGCCGAGATGGCACCACTGCACTCCAACCTGGCAACAGAGCAAGGCTCCCTCTCAAGACAAAAAACTAAAAAAAAAAACCAACTCGTACCTAGGCTGGGCACGGTGGCTCACGCCAGTAATCCTAGCACTTTGGGAGATTGAGGCGGGCAGATCACGAAGTCAGGAGATCGAGACCATCCTGGCTAACATGGTGAAACCCCATGTCTACTACAAATACAAAAAAATTAGCCAGGCGTGGTGGTGGGCGCTACTTGGGAGGCTGAGGCAGGCGAATGGAGTGAACCCGGGAGGGGGAACTTTCAGTGAGCCAAGATCGTGTCACTGCACTCCAGCCTGGGCAACAGAGTGAGACTCCGTCTCAAAACACACACACACACACACACACACACACACACACACACACTTTTCAAAAAATAATCTGTAATGACAGAGGTCAGGACAGTGGTTAACTCTGGGATGAAAGAAGAAGACTAGGAAGGAAAGATTAATGGGTATTGGACATGTTCTGTATCTTAATCGGGGTAGTGATTATGAGTGTGTTTTCACATGTAAGAAATCTTTAGCTGTATACTCAAGATGAGTGTACTTCGTAGTATGTATGTTTCTAAACAACAATATACCCAAGACAGCAGACCTTCCAAAATGGCTGAGTGAGGAGGCTGGCAAATCCTTGCCACAAAAATAAACAAGAAAACAGAACAAAATTGTCAAAAACAATATCTAAAGGACACTGGAAATTGACCAAAGGCACACAATAAACTGAGAAGTGTTTATTCAAGAAAACTAACTGAACCTCACTGACAACAGTGAGAGTCTATAGCACTTTAGTGTGGTGCTACTCCCACTCCCCAGTTCCACCCCTGCTTCCTGATGCAGAAGTGCTGTCAGGGTAGGTGTGCTATGAAGATGAAGGCTCTGATCCTGGAAATGACTGATTTTATGTGGAGCATAAAATGGAAAATTCTATGACAAAGGGCATTGTCAAAAACAATAGTGATCTTAATGCAAACAATCAGGAAAGGACAACACTGCAGCTACCCTGAAATCTCATAACTGATTGAAGCAAGCAACAAACCAGTAGGCCAGTCAGAAAATTAATAGGCAAATCCAGGAACTGAAAGAGGGCATTGATGCAATCCTACTTATCTCTGATGGCCTAGAAAACTGTGCATATGCACAAAGCTGCACACTTGCTCAGAGAGCCTGCAGAAAGCCTTAGTAAGCTACTTATTTCTGCTGAACATGAGACTTTACAACACAAAAATGAAGATTTGGGCCAGACTGGTAAATAGGCTGACTGTTGATTCATTCCCCAAATCATTTATGGATCCATCATAAAAGCGGAAGACAGTGATTTAGGGGTTCTAAGTGTTTAGATACAATCTCTAGCCAATCTGTAACTGAGCACTAAACTATTTTGACTTCAGGGGTGGTCCCTAGAAGGCTAGGCTTATATAAGTGGTAAGGGTGGTGGCAAATGCAATGAAGTAGAGACAACAGCAGCCATACATTATGAGGGAAACATGCTCCATAGAATCACTGCAGTAAGAAACTAAAGTAATAAACCCAAAACAAGCAAAAACAAAAAAACAAAAAAGGAACAACCATTAACTGTAAGTATGTGTGAGGGAAGAGATGGGGAATCAGATTATACAGTTGCTACAATATATTATCTAAAATGTTCAGTTTTCAGCAAAAATATTAGGCATGCAAAAATTAAAAATTTACCATTCCGAAAGGAAAAAAACAGTCAATAGATACTATCTCTGAGAGAGCCTACATGATGGACTCAACAGAAAAAGACTTCAAATCAGCTGTTATAAATACATTCAAAGATCCCCTTCCAAAAAAGTTTGAAGATTTAATGGGAAGCATGATGTCATAATTCATCAAATAAAGAATATCAACAAAAGGGTAGAAATTCTTAAATAGAACCAACTGGACATTCTGAAATTTGAAAGTACAACAACAAATAAAAAATTCACTAGAGAACCTCACCAGCAGATTTGAATGGCAGAAGAAAGAATCAGTGCATTTCAAAACAGATTGATCCAGGTTGTAAATCTGAAGAACAGGGGGAAAAATGAAGAAAATAAGCAGAACATAACAGACCTGAGGCACACCATCAAATATAACAAACATACACATAATGAGGATTCCAAGAAGAAAAGGAGAAAAAGGTTCTGAAAAAGTATTTGAAGAAATAATGGTAAAAACCTCCCCAAATTTAATGAAAAACTTAATCTAAACTTCCAAAATTCTCAAATAATTCTAAATAGGATAAACACAAAGAGATCCACATCTACACATTTCATATATAACTGTTGAAAGGCAAAGAAAAAGAGGAGATCTAGAAAATATCAAGGGTAAAATGACTCACTATGTACAAGGCACCCAAAATAAGATGAACAGCCAACTTCCAATCAGAAATAATGGAAGGCAGAAGACATTGGGAGGATGTCTTCCCGAACTCAAAGAAACAAACAGCTGTCAAACAAAATCTCTGTATCTAGCAAAAACATTCCTCAAAATGAAGGCAAAATTAAGAAATCTCCTATTAAAGACTGAAAGAATTCACTGTTAGCAGAACTGCTTCACAAAACATAAAGTTCATTAGGATGAAAGAAAATGACAACAGACCTTAATTCAAATCCACATGAAGAAAAATAAACATTGTTAAAGGTAACTGTGCAGGTAATTATAGAAGACTACATAATTTTTGTCTTTTCTTGTCTCAAATGATTTAAAAAAGAACTGCATAAAACAGTACTTGTAAAATTGTGTTGTAGGACACATAATGTAGAAAGAGGCAATATATATAATAATAATGGCACAAAGAAAGAGGGAAAGAATATAGTTATATGTGCAAAGAAATGCTACCAAGTCATAAATCAATTCCACATTTAAAAAATTAAGAGTAATGGAAACAGTAACCATATAGGTTATCATATGTTAAAAGAAATCATACATACATTTTTCTATTTTCTTGCTTTAACTTCTTTAAGCATAGGTTATACAAAGCAATAATAATAATATTGCCTTGTTAGGTATATAAGATATATAGATGTATGTGATAATAATAGCACAAAAGAGGGTGACATGGATCTATAGTGAAGCAAAGTTTGTGCATACTACTGCACAAACTTTAATACAAAGTCAGTATTAAACTGAAAGTTGAATACAAAGTCAGTCTTAAACTAAAATAGACTGTGATAAGGTGGAATGCATGTTGTAAACCCTAATCCATTCAGAAAAAAAATTTTCATAGAGCAAAAATGAACTAAGTAATAAAAATGATACACTAAAACACACCTATTTAATTACAAAAGAAGCAGTAAAGGAAAATCAATTGAACAAAAAAAGATGAAAATCAAAATGGAGACATAAATCCAATCAAATCAATAATATTAACTATAAATAAATTTAAAATTCAAAAAAAAAGAGACTGTTAGACTGGATTTTTTTCAAAAGAAAATCAACGATATGCTTTCTAAAAGATATATTTTACTTACAAATACAAAAATAAGTTTAAAAAATGATTGAAAAATATTATGTGAACAATAAATGTAGTTTAATAAAGGGGAGTGAGAATACTATCTGACAAAACAGACTTTAAAGCAAAACTGTTACTAGAGACAAACAGAGATTTTATAATGATAAAAGGGTCTACCCATCAAGAAGATACAATAATGATATACATGTATATACCTAACAACAAACCCCGAAAGAGATGGAGCAAAACCTAACAGAACTAAAGGGAGACACAAACAACTCAAGAATAACTGGAGACTGTAACATACTACTCTAAATAATGAACAGGGCATCTAGATAGAAAATCAACCAGAATATAGTGGATTCGACCAACACCATCGAAGAAATTGACCTAAGAACCCTCCACCCCAAATGAGTACAGTACATAATCTTTTTAAGCACACATGGTACATCATCAAAATAGATCATGTGCTAGGCCATAACTATCTATACATTTAAAATGACTAATATCACATAAAGTATGTTTTCTGTATTGCTAATTAAATTAGAAACAAACAACAAGAAAATCTGGGAAATTCACAAATATTTTGACACATGTCAATAGACTTCTAAATATCCAATGAATTAAGAGAATGAATCACATGAGAGGTCAGAAGATATTTTAAACAGAATAAAAATAAAAATAGAATATATAAAGTTTTGTTACTTCAGCTAAAGAAGTTCCATAAACACCTATGTTAGAAAGGAAGAAACAGTAAACCAGTAATAGACACTTCCATTTTAAGAAATCAAAGAATGGGGAAGAAGAGAGACTGCTCATGGACCTTTCTGGAATGATGCAAATGTTCTGTATCATATTGTGGTGATGGTTACAAATCTCTGTAAATTTACTAAAACTAATTGAATTATACACTTAACATGGATAGATTTTCAGACATATATATATAATACATTACATTTTAAGTAAAGCTTTTAAAAATAAAAAGTTTTTTTTTTTTTAATTGCATGAGAAAAGTGACTAGAAAAAAGTAGGCCCAAAACTAAGTGTTATATTAGAATGGCAGGGATGTAAGTATTATTTATATTTTCTAATTATTGTTGCAATAAAAATTCATATTTAAAAGTTAAAAGAATCATTGTTTCCACTTTTTATAAACATGTAAGACTGTATTAAATGTATTACAGGGGTCTTCAGACAGCCATCTAGTTTAACTTCCTAGCTCAAGGTAAGAATGTAACTAATTCATGAAAAATGGGATTTTATACAGGTTTTAGATGTCTTAATGGTAATAAAAAATCCCAGGAAACTACCTTCACCCCAACCCCTTTTAGCTGTACTCACTTAAAAGGCTTCTTAGAGCATCTACTCATTTCAAAAATTTCTTCCCAGTGTCTAATGTCAATCACCTTTGGCACAATTCAAATTCATTTCAACACAATGGATCTTTTGAGATTTGTGTTCATATCCTGTTTCTACCACTTACAGCACTATGCAACACTCTTCCTCCATGTCTTCATCATACAATGGAAAAAATAACAATATAGTTGCAAAAACTAAATTATATACTGCATATAACATGCTTAGAATACAGGTACCCAGCATGTAGCAGATATTTACTAAGAATTATTATGAAGACATGAAGAAGAGAAAACCCTTTGAAGGAAAGAGGTGATGGCAGGTGGCTGAACCAAGTTACCTAAGTCTGTGTATTCTTTCATGCAAAAAGCTGGGTTATCCGAAATGGCCTGAATACAGCAAAAACCATGTTAAAAAATAATCTATAATATGTAATTATTAAAAGAGGGGGCCAGGCGCTGTGGCTCACATCTGTAATTTCAGCACTTTGGCAGGCCAAGGTGGGTGGATCACGAGGTCAGGAGATTCAGACCATTCTGACTAACATGGTGAAACCCCATCTCTACTAAAAATACAAAAAGAAAAAAATACAATTAGCCGGGCATGGTGGCGGACACCTGTAGTCCCAGCTACTTGGGAGGCTGAGGCAGGAGAATAGCATGAACCCGGGAGGTGGAGCTTACAGTGAGCCGAGATTGCGTCATTGCACTCCAGCCTGGGCAACAGAGCGAGACTCCCTCTCAAAAAAACAAAAAGGGGGGTGGGGAAGCCTTTACAAGATTCAGTTCCCCGTTGAACAATAGCTTATAATCATACAAGTAACAGAATAGCTTTAAATAAGATGACATAAATGTTCTGCCATGTCATGGATGAATAGACATTTACATGTTCAATTGAATAAACTGGTTGCTTTACTTTGATTAGTTCTACTTGAGTTAATTAAAATGCTTCCATTTCTTCTAATATTCACAGCTCTCTGTACAGCTTACAGAGGCTGGAGATGGATTTTTAATACTGTTTACCAACTGTAAGATTTTGATGGACACTTTAATCATGCAATACATCTGCAAAATCTACCACCGGGAGCTATACAAATCTTGAACCAAATTGAGAAAAGAAATTACATGAACACAGCCATTTTATATTGGTACTAACTTGAGAAAAAAAGAGCAGAAAAAGTTCATAATACGATCTTTTTTTGTCAAATAATTTTTCAAGTACCATAATCTTCCTTAAGTTAATAACATATATAAGTCATCAGTGTTTTTGATGTTTTTTTGCTTGTGTCTTGCTACATATAACATTTTTCATTAGTAAACTATCAACTACTTCTGAATCTCTGTACAGAGATTAAAGGACCAACATCTTCCTAGCCACTTGCAAGTCCAAAGCTCAAGTGGGAGCCATCTTGCAGAATTTCACTGGGCCTTCAACATCTGAAGCACGAGAACGGATTATAACTTTTTATATGACAAAGTTCCTGGGATACAGGATGAATTCAGTTCTCCTTTAGGCAGAATGACTACCCACCAAGATGCTATAAAAGAAATTCAAGCACTAAAAACATTTCTACATAAACTTTTCAGGAACCTTACAGCTCTGAAGTCATGCTAATCTAATATTTTAGAGATTTCCTAAATTAACTTTTAAAAACTGTTCTGCAGAAAATGAAGAAGGGAGACAAGATACAGAAAAATCTAAGGGATTTTATTTCTTCAATTTGCATCTGGACATATTAAACCCAAAAAGAGACAGTGATTTGACTTGCTTTGTCATATAACCAAGTGATGTGGGAAACTTATTCTAAAAGGGGGAAAATTAGTCCCGAAATAAGCTTCTTAAACTGAGAAGAAACACAGAGTTTCAATTAACAAGGAAGACCAAGCCGGTGTAAAAGACTAAGCACAGTCGCGTGTTGCTTAATGATGGGAATATGTTCTGAGAAATGTGTCATTAGGTGATTCTGTCATTGTGTGAACTCATAGAATACACTTAGACAAACCTAAATGGTATAGCCTACTATACACCTAGGCAACATAGCATAGCCTATTGTTCCTAGGCTATGCATGTGACTGTACTGAATACTGTAGGCAACTGTAACCTGATGGCAAGTATTTGTTTATCTAAACATATCTAAACACAGAAAAGACACAATAAAAATACAGTATAAAAGATTTAAAAAAGGGTACACCTGTATAGGGCACTTACCATGAATGGAGCTTACAGGACTGGAAGTAGCTCTAGGTGAGTCAGTGAGTGAGCAGTGCGTGAATGTGAAGGCCTAGGACATTACTATATACTACTGGAGATGTTATAAACATTATACGTGTTGATTACACTAAATTTATTTAAAAATTTCTTTCTTCAATGACAAATTAACCTTAGCCTACTGTAATTTTTTTACTTTATATACTGTTCAAATTTTGACTCCTTTTTAATAACATTTAGCTTAAAAATGTACAGCTGTACAAAAATACTTTCCTCCTTTATATCCATATTCTATAACCTTTCTTCTATTAAATTGTATTGCATTGCATTGCATTGCATTTTGAGACAGGGCTTCACTCTGTCACCCAGGCTAGAGTGCACTGGCACAATCTCAGTTCACTGCAGCCTCTAATTCCTGAGCTCAAGTGATCCTCACACCTCAGCCTCCAGAGTAGCTGAGTCTACACGCACATGCCATTATGCCCAGTTAATTTTTGTATTTTTTGTAGAGACAGGGTTTCACCACATTGTTCAGGCTGATCTTGAACTCCTGGGCTCAAGTGATCCACCCACCTCGGCCTCTTAAAGTGTTGGGATTACAGGTGCGAGCCACTGCACATGGCCTACATTATAAATGTTTTTGTTAAAAACTAGGACACAGACAGGTGCAGTGATGCATGCCAGTAATCCCAGATACTTGGGAGGCTGAGGTGGGAGGATCACTGAGCCCAGGAGTTCAAGACTAGCCTGGGCAACATAGCAAGACTCCCTTCTAAGAAACAAACAAACAAAAACAAAGATACAAACACACACATTAGCCAAGGACCACACAGGAACAGGATCATCAATAACACTGTCTTCCAGCTGCATATCTTGTCCCATTGGAAGGTCCTCAGGGGTAATAATGCGCATGGAGCTACCATCCCCTATGGTAACAATGCTTCTTCTGAAGTACTTCCTGAAGAACCTGCCTGAGATGTTCTAAAGTTAACTTTTTTCTTTTTAACTAGTAGAAGGAGTATACTAAAATAATTGTAAAATTACAGCATAGTAAATACGTAAACCAGTAACATAGTATTTTACTATCAAGTATTATATACCATACATAATTGTATATGCTGTACTTTTATATGACTGGCAGTGCAGTAGGTTTGTTTACACCAGCATCAGCCCAGAAGTGAGAGTAATTTGTTGCGCTACAACCTTACCAGGTTATGACGTCATGAGGCAATAGCAATTTTTCAGCTTCATTATAATCTCGTGGGACACTGTTGCATATGCCATCATTGAAACAGCATTATGCGGCGCAT